TCCGATATAGTCTTACAATCTCATTTTTAATATCTACTTCCTTGAAAAGCCTTGATAATTGCCTACTCTTATCTATCTTCGCTGTCTTTTTCATATTTTCTGCTTTCGCTTTCAATCACTATTCGCTGTAATTTCTCAAGCCTTTTATCAGCTTACGTTTAAACTGCCTCCTTTCATAGTATTCGGAACCATAGGGAATGAGTTTTCAAGCATCTGTTACTTAAGCAAAAGCCGCTGAAGTCCACTGATTTTTCAACCTTTTAGTTCCGGTTACTGGTGGGTGTCATTGCCGTTTGAATGTCATCCCCAAGTTATCTTGGGGTGGGTATCGATTTCATGGTTGATTAACTCCTTTCTCAGTTCCTAAGATTTATTCGTGACTTATCATTAACCTTAACTCCTGGAGGTTTTCTTTTGGTAACTTTTATATATCCATTGAGACTTTTACAAATACGTACTCGTACTGGGGCATGACCTGAGTTCAAATATACACTCCAAAACGAGCGACAGTCCTTTATCGGGCCTTTCCCACAATGGTTGATGTCCATGTGGTCTATTTGAATACATTGTTGGGTCGATTGTGGGGTTTTCGCGCCGGACAATGTTTACCCTGTACTTGGAATTGGTGCTCGTTAGAAGTAGACGGTTATCTGAGCATAGTTGCAGCAGACGGTCACTATTATCTGTTTACTGGGGGCGTGACACCGTATGATCCATTTAAGTCCCTTTCAGTTTAGCTTAACCTACCACGTTGTGCATTATTTGCCGACGCTGGGACTGGTTGGAACAAGCGGAGAGGTGGTCAGTGCATGACATGGTGTCGTGGTATGAAAGAAAGCTGCAAAGGGCTGGCTTCTGTTGGTCCTTCATGACTCCCTGGCTGGGGTTCTAGAGATGGTGCAACACAGTGGCTGGAGACGTTATCAGATATGGCTCAGGATAGAAGCCAGTGGCGATCCTGCTGTAACCTTCTTTTACTTTCTTCATAAAAAATGGTTGTATCTTCTTTAACTGAAAGAATTCTTTTGGTTTTACCTTTCCGTTTCCCCTATTATTATTATTATTATTATTATTATTATTATTATTATTATTATTATTATTATTATTACACTACCTTACACTAATCTGGTCGTTATTGTTCTTTTTTTCCTTATGCTCTCCTTATCTTCTTTTTTCCCTCCTCATTGTCATTTTTTTGTGTGGCGCATATATATTTGGTGCCCCCTTGTACCAATATTTATGTGTTCAAATAAATAAGTAAAATAATATACCCAGAGGGAAGATAAAAAGTATATACGTCCACCCATTGTCAATAGTTTTGCATATAACTAAAATGAGGGAAGTTTAAACCTTTTTGTTGTCACTTCTGATCCACTGTTTGTGTTTTGAACTAAAGTGATGAGTCACTGACAAGTCTCAAATGGTACGGGATACATATAGTGTATTTTATCTCTAAACACAATACTCTTCAAGTGGAAACCGTCGTATTTTATTTATAGATGTCTGGTATATGTTAAACTTGTTTTCAACGCTTCATTTCTTTTAATGCTTCAATTTATATCTTGTCTCTTGAATATATCTTAATAACACGTGGATGAATTAAGCAGCTTCCTTCCTAGTATTGTGCGTTAAATATTTACCTATTTAAAATGGAATAAAATTATCGAGTAAATAATTTTAAAACTGTTTATATTTTCTAAAACTCATTTTAGATTGGGATTAGACCGTTTACGTTATTTTCTCAAAAATATCATTTTCCTTGTATACGAACCCGATATTTATTCTCCAATATGGCTGTCAGTTATTTAAGGTAATGATTTTTGTTTCAAAAAAAAACGTAATTTTGTTTTTGACTTATCAAAATAAGAACCAGATATTTTCCTGCTTTATTTAAAATCATCTATTTGCTGAACTCTCTATATAATGGATTTAATTCGAAAAGTGCTGACAGAGCATATAACAGACAAGAAATGAAACTAGAGTGGTGGCATTAATACTATAGTAGGACTTAAATACTATGGTATGAAATTATAGCAATGATAATTTCAAAGGAAATCAATATTGTTAACCATGTTAGGACATTGTTTGGATATAACTGCATAAAAAGAAAATATTCAGTACATTAAAGCTGTGGTTATTTTGTTGCATTCTATCAACTTTAATTTCTAAAAAAAAATAGGAGTGAGGAAATCTGGTATAACTTGTTTTACGTCCATTAGACAATTAAACCATGGTAGTTATACGTATACTTGATTTTATTTCAGCTAATTCAATCATGAAATCTATGAATATTCTTCTTCTTAATTGACTGGAAAAATATACACTAACGCAAAAATGAATAACTGTAAATTCATAAACTGATCAACATAGGTCGTAAAGTTGATATCATTAATGCTGTATAAGTTGTCAATTATGTTTTATTTAGTTCTCATTATTGTCTATGAGTTCATCTTCTCCATATTGTAAATAATGAATAAATTTAAATCTTTTATAAACTAAGTTGGGAACTGATAGGAATTTGTTCAATTTCTCTCACTAATCTTAGGTATCAAGTCAATCTAAAAATTTATCCTGGATTCTTCTCAGGATATTTTAACTATTAACATAGGATAATCCTATCTGACAAATGGAATAATAATGTAGTTCATTTACCAAATAAAGGTTCATGTACTCAACTTTAAGGCGCATCGTTTTTGTAAAGGATAGCAATACTATCTAACTACTCAAACTGAAGTGAGTGAAGTTTGACCTTTTAACCGAGTGCTTTAACCATTACTACTCATCATTCAGTGAAATCATAAATCTAATATTCATAGGATTTAACTTAATTTTCAGAGTAAATAAGTTGATGGAGTCACGTTCATACGCAATAACTATGTTTGAATGAGTTTCAAAGCGGTTTAATCAGGATCTACCAAAATTGAATCCTAGGTTTAAAAAAAACTTAAATTAGAAATTCAATGAGAATCTATTTGTAATAACTAAATCTTATTATTAGTCAGGATTATCATGCTAGAATGACCCATATGGGTTAGACACGACACATCTACGTTTGAATGATATCAGTCAGATTTGTAAACTACTGCACCCCAGTGCAGTGGTTTGGACGTTTAGCTTTCGCTCGCGAGACCGAAAGTCTCGGGTTCAGTTCCCGATCTGGGGATCGAAGACGCGCACTGATGCGGAGGAGTCCAGTACTAGGACGAAACGGCTATCCAGTTTTCATTAGTTTTCTAACTTAGATCGGTTATGGTTCTCAGTATATTGCTATAATTCCTTTTGTTACAGAAATTCAAGTAACGGTATTTTCAGAATGTAGATAAGACAGATTTTTAAGTCCAAGAAGTATGGTTACAAATATATTGTAGTGTAAATCTACACTATTCTACTAAAACGCAACTTATTATATGCTGGTTACAATAAGCCACAATCTAATGTAATTAAAATTGAGCTTCACAACATATTTTCTATTTGGTTTACTACTGGTTTTTGTACATTTCAATTGTAGTAATTTCTAAAAATTCAAACAAATAATCTGAATTCGTCTTCATTTGATTATCATTTCATAGTTAATATTGTGGGATTTCATTTACTGATCATCTTTAGACTTCCATGTATGATTAATCTTCATTTACAAATGTGGATATTGACTTTCAACATTACTTTGTACTTTTTATCCATCGAAATCGTTCGTTCTTTTCGAACTATATTGTTCAATGTTTAATCCTTCTTTACAAATATCGTTTCGACTATTTCGCTATTCCTCTTGTTAATTTTATCTCATCGTGTTGATTTGATGTGACGTGGGCTAACGCAGATTTATATCAAGCTGTAAGTTGATTGTGTGTGAGTGATTGTAGATATTTACTGATTTCATATTTGTATTGTTTATCTAGTCAGGTAGAAGCTCAACAAGTAGATAATGAATTATTTACAGAATATGCTTTCTCTGTTGATCAGCTGATGGAATTAGCTGGTCTAAGCTGTGCTGTTGCTATCAATAAGGTGATTGCTTATGTTTTTATCTTATACTGTATTTATTATGGTTCACTTATTCTTTAAATTCTCTGAACATCATTACTATTGTGATAACAAATCATATAAATGAAGTATTCTCATCATCGAACAAAAGGTTAATATCATAACTCAATAGTAACTGAGCGTATGAAAATGATTGATATGTTATCTTATCATATCACTAGATTCCTTATCATAATGTGACTATGGTCTTTGAAGTGAGATAGATCAGTACAAAGAACCATTTTCTATATAAATACATTTTTGTTTTAAAGAGTAGGTGTATAATGACAGAAATGAAGCTGTTTAGTATTTTTCTTAATTTAAATATTCTCTATTTATAACACCCGTTTCCTAACAACTGCATTACTTACTCGGTGGTCCCAAGATATACTTCGAAGCATTGCTCGTATATCCTGGAACCACCGAGTAAGTAATGCAGTTGTTAGGAAACAGGTACTCGGTAAGGATGGCAAATCAGTTGATGAAGCAGTGAAATGTCATCAGTTGAGATGGCTGAAACACGTGTTACGTATGCCCGACCACTGACTGCCCCGACGTGCGATGTTTCATGGTATAGGAGTAGGTTGGAAGAAAGCTAGGGGCAGCCAGACCAAAACATGGCACAAATCCATGAAGTTATTGACAAGTGAACTGAGCCATATTGGTAGGTGTAGACTACCTGGTTGGGATCCGCGAGATGATAGCAACCGATGGTTAGAGACCCTGAATGACATGGCTCAAAATCGTTTGCAATGGCGCAGGTACATCCACTCTTTGTGTTTTCCCAAATTCTAATCTTCTGAATTCTTTATGTCCCTTTTTCGTCTTCCCAAATTTATTTCACTGTATTATACTCTTGAAATAACATCTCCAAACCCTAATCTTTCCGATTACTGATTATACTCTTATTACCTCTACCACTACGGGATTTGAATCGACAACTGCATCTCTGTGCTAATGTGGTATGGCAACTCGGACTGATGTACGTACGTACGAAGTTCTATGTTGTTACAGACTGACTCACTGGTTCAGTAAGAGATAAATAACGTTTTCTATTTTTGTAAAATATATATTCCAAATAACTTATCAGATATGTAAACATTTCCTAATTTGTATTGAAATATATTTCTATCTGACTATTATCTAATATAGTTCAGTGTGTTTTCTTCATCTTGAGTTGGAAACCATAAAAAGATAATCTGCTTGTTTTTTCGTAAAGTACTTTTTAAAAAATAGAAATGAATAAATAAGCAGAATACTATTGTGATAGACATAACAATGTGCCATGTATTCTAGTTGTTAAATCTTCTTGATTCTTTACTCTAAATGGAAAGGATCAAAAAGATTCTCTTATTAAATCAAAAGCTCAAAATGAAGAAAGTATCTAGTTACATAAGTGTTAATCGAAGCTACTGAATAATATAGCATTGCTTTTACACATGAAAGATAACCTTTACCACTGTACTGTTCGTGCAATAACACTTTCAGTATTCATTATTTCCTGATAGTTTAAAAGATAGATTACTCAAAAAAGAGTTGTCAACTCATCATTTAATGAAAATAAAGGAACTAACCAATTAGGTTCTCTCTTTTTGCTAATAGATTTATCTAAAAATTTGATATAAACCTTCGTCATTGTACTTGAACTAATTTAGTTCACAGTATATTGATGAAAAAAATATCGATGAATAATATATACAACCTTTCATGTTAAAACATACTTTTGTAATCTATCTATTTACCAGTTATTCAGTACATTATAAATTTCCTTTAAACCACACAGGCTTATCCCCTTAACAAGCTAACTAAATCCAATGGTTCTGTACTTGTTTTTTGTGGACCAGGAAACAATGGTGGAGATGGTTTAGTTTGTGCTCGACATTTGAAAATGTTTGTAAGTTTGACTTTATTGGACTTTTTTACAAATAAATTTCTCTAAACAGTTTAGATTAGCCAATCGAAATCAGTTCTATTCTTATCACGACTATGACATCATTACCTGGTATTAATGTGTAATGTTTCTGTTGAGATATTCAGAAAAATATCCCAAACATTATCCTGTTAAGTCTAATGCTATCCTTGGACTTGAAATAGCATCATTTTCCTATTGGTCAATATTTATTTCACGTGTCATTTTCCTGTAGGCCAAATCTTGTACAAATGTTATTTTCTATTTTATGGTACGATGTGGTCTGCTTGATTGGTATATAAACGGAGTATGTTTGAATTACATGATTCATATTGCAGAGGCTGAGACTTGTGTTCTGGACTCAACTGGCTGGGCTAGGCGGAAAGCAGGACCAATCAGAACTCTGGGCTGCTCATTAGGGTTCACGCGTCATTGTCCCGATCGATAAGTCACTGCTCTCTAATTTGCGGTTACAAGTTATAACAGTTTCATTTTATCGTCAAAAATGATCAATAACTTGTTTTTATTTTTATAAAATAAAAATATTTGGTACAAAATAACACCAAAGAAATATCTTATTCATTTATTGATTGCTTAGTATAAAGTCAAGCTGTTTTTACAATAACTACTCGGTTGTCTGTATAAAACTAGACAAAGTGAAATTCAAACTCTTGATACCTATTGACAGCTAAGAGTCGAGTAGTTTAATTACTAGTCATTAATTTTCTACTTGAAATAGTCAACATATTTTGTAAGTCATTTGGAAATTTCGAGTTTCACATTCAGTATTCACTGACTCTTTCATTCTATTTTGAAGTGTTAAGTCTTAAAATGAAGATTCTTATTTTTAAAAGTTGTATGTTTTCTGCAACTTTTTCAGTAATCCGTGAAAGTTAATCATTGTTGGCATGATAAACATCGATTTTGCCGATTGAATCACTATGATGATTTATTATTAGCAGTTTTGTTCCATGCGAAATCTTTTTTCGAGGAGTCACTTTCCCCACTCTCCTTATCCTTTCTGTTTAGACATTTACTACTCTTGTATAGATTTTCTTTCGTTTGCACGCATGATAAACAATGCTTATCAAGGTTATCTATTTCATATATAGAGGAAATAACCCTTCAATTTTGTTTGTTATTTCACCCTTAAATACCAGATTGTTTGTTTTTCTTTTCTCGTGTTTATCTTGTCATTTGTAGGGTTACAAACCTTCTATACATTATCCTCGTAATCCAACCAAACAATTGTATAAAAATTTAGTTATTCAGTGTGAAAAAATGGACATTCCTTTTCTATCAGATTTGACAAATGAAGTAAGTTGTTTTTTTTGTGTAAAACATTTTGTATATTTTAAAAGTGGTTTTCATCACGAACTGATTTCAACTACTACAAAAAACTTTTAAAAGCTAACATACTGGTAAAAAAAACAGTTGATGATTCCCTCTAGTTCATAACTTCTTAGCAGTACTCGTCTCTTAAAGAGGAAGAATGTACTTGTAAAATTTCAGCGAATGAATTTGAAGTAAATTCAACGTTTCGCCTGTCAATCTGGTCCAAGCTTTTTCAAGGAAATATATTTTCTTCAAATACATTCGCTGAGATTTTACAAATACGTTCTTCCTCTTTAATGTCTCACATCAACGTGGCACCCAGATACTATGAAACTGGTACTCACCTATAGTTAATTTTACATGGATACCAACTTAATTTGTGTATTGGGCATCATATATAAACTACTGAATAAAAATCCCTGAGGTTAGGATTTTTAATTTTCGTCAATTTGTCGTATAGCATAATACTGATTAAGTATTGTAACTGAGTCACTTTCTCATTCCCGAATATATTGATTTCGTAGATCACAACTTTCAATTGTGAACTGCAAAACGTCCATCTTAAAAACCAGTCACTAGTATAGAAATGATTATTATAGAGTGTAGATATTTTTATTTATTTTGCGCATAAACTACATTATCCACTGATGGCATAATATATTAATCATACTAACAAAACCATATTTATCAATAATCACATATATCTGTATTCGACCTACACTAAGTGATAATAGTTTAAGACCTAACAATAAACCACATCGTCTAAATATACATCATTAAAAGTTAGAATTATTCAAAAAGTCTACGGTTAAGCGTTCAGTTTCCTAGTATTCTAGATTAGCTGTCATTAAAATAGTATTGTGCAAATTGTAGACGTTAATTCACTGTATTCAAAAAGTTTTGATTCTCCATACCTTGATGTTTGATTTCTTCTCATTCCTTTTTCATTTCTAATTGTGATATTATATTTCTCCTGCTAACTGAATAACAGTTGTAGTGAACGAACACTCAAATGGGGAAAACCAATTCGTTATTCAGTTCAGAGTTACAGCATCTTTGTAAATTATGAAAACCATACATTAAATGGGTCATTTTTACATCTTCCATCAACTATCTCTTACAAACTTCATCGTCCTTTCATTTCTGTTGTCTTCAGTTCAATCTTCTCGATCTTCTGCTGTCATGCATTCCACTTGTGACTGGCGTTACGTACTACTTAGATCTGTCAGCATAAGTAGCATACACAACACAGTGAGCTGAAATAACTTTAAACAGTTTATAAGCACAGCTCTCTCAAAATATCCATATCAGACAGTATGAGTGTCTCTCTTTTTTTGTCATACAACTAATAAACATGATTTTTACGAATATGACGGGCATTATACCTAAGTCACTGGTAGAAATAATAATAATAGATTTTTAACAATCTACAAAGTACTTTTCAATTGTTCTCATTATCACTAAAAAATTCCAACACTGAAAAAATCCATGTTTAGTCTATTTAGTTTATATATGGTACTTCTAATCCTAGTTATCCCACTATATTTTTAATCAGAAAATATATATTTAATTTATGTTCATGGATAATTGTTATATCCTAGCGAAAAATAAGTGAATGGTAGCTGCTAGGAATTATTTATGAACTATTATTACATATATTCATATTCCTTTTATAATAAGCTTATGTTTGATTTATTGACTATTACTATACGATTCACTATTCTTAAGTTATTCCCGATTTATTAGTTACAGTATATCACACTTGGAGCCACTTTCGGTCTGATCTTGTGTAATTGTTATTTTTTATTTTATGGTATGGTGCGGTCTCGTTCGCTTGTATATAAACTGTGTATATCTGAAATACATGGTTCATACAGTGGAAACGAAGATTGCGTTCTGAACCCAAACAGAAAGAGCTAGGCGAAAACTAATAAAGGACTCAGAGTTAACTCTAGACTACTCGTACTGGTTAACGCGTCATTAGCTTCGCGCAGTGCCAAGGTCATATAAGTCGGTATTTCTTTTGGTGACTTTGTCACTTGATAATAAACGGGGCAAAAGACATGGTGATCTACATAATGTTTCTTCTTTATCTCTATTGTTATTTCTATTGTTCCTTTACATTTTTCTTTAACTAGACAGTTAACTTATCTCAATCTTATGATCTATTCATCGATGCACTTTTTGGATTTGGTTTCAAACCGCCTGTAAGTCTAGAATTCAAAAGTATATTACAAATTATGTCAACAAGTCAAATTCCTGTCATATCAATAGATGTTCCATCAGGTAAGTATACTTTTAGTGTTAAGTTTTTATACTACAATCACCTCAACCCTTGTAAGACATATTATCATGCTGATATATATATATATATTACTTACTTACTTACCTACGCCTGTTACTCCCAATGGACCATAGGCCGCTGACTAGCATTCTCCAACCCACTCTGTTCTGGGCCTTCTTTTCTAGTTCCATCCAATTCTTGTTCATTTTTCTCATGTCTATCTCCATTTCTCCGCGTAATGTGTTCTTTGGTCTTCCTCTTTTCTTTGGCCTTGAGGATTCCATGTGAGGGTTTGTCTTGTGACGCAGTTGGGTGCTTTCCTCAATGTGTGTCCTATCCACTTCCAGCGCTTCTTCCTCCACTGGGATCTGGTTTGTTCTCTCCCACAGTACGTTGTTGCTAATAGTGTCCGGCCAATGGATCTGAAGTATTTTGCGTAGACAATTGTTAATAAACACCTGTATTTTCTGGATGATGGCTTTCGTAGTTCTCCAGGTTTCTGCCCCATACAGTAGAACTGTCTTGACATTTGTATTGAAAATGGTGACTTTGGTGTTGGTTGACAGTTGTTTTGAGTTCCAGATGTTCCTGTTGGGGACGATAGATCCCCAAAACTCAAATTTTGTAATTTACTTATCGATTAAATGTGCAGATAGGTCAATTGATGAACTATCGATTAAATGTACAAATAGGTCAATTGATGAACTATCGATTAAATGTTCAAATAGCAGTCAATTGTTGATTAATGTTCAAAAATCTTCCATGACAATATCGATTGTAAATAATTGTATAAATACGCTTGACTTGTATGCTTGATCTGATCTGCCTGCCTGACTTGTTATCTGCTGTTTGTCTGTAGAATACACTTTCTACACCTTACCCAGACTTTTTGATCGAGTTAGCAGAGTTGGGGACAACGGACCAGAAAAGACTATCGAGATTCTGAATCCTTGATCCGATCGATAAGTCACTGTCATATAATCGGCTGTCACTTTGAGCCATAACAGTTCCTCAGTTGTAAATATGCTGCTCTTGCTTTGCCGATCCGCGCCTTCACATCTGCATCAGATCCACCCTGTTCATCAATGATGCTGCCCAAATACGTAAAGGTTTTTACATCTTCCATATGTTCTCCATCAATTTTGATTGGATTGGTGCATGCTGTGTTGTATCGGAGAATCTTGCTTTTCTCTTTGTGTATATTGAGGCCTACTGCTGCCACAGTGTTCGTCTTCTCCTGCATTTGTTGTTGCGTTTGGGATAGAAGGGCCAGATCATCTGCGAAGTCTAGATCGTCCAACTGCATCTTAGATGTCCATTGTATCCCGTGCTTCCCTTCAGATGTTGACGTCTTCATGATCCAGTAAGGATAGGTCGTATACAGACCAAATCGCAACTCTACGGATCATTGTGGAACAATCAATTGAATGGAATTCATCACTCTACATGATATATATATATATATATATATATATGCAGTCTTCAACTGATGTCACAGTTTCTAATACTACTTCTCCATTTACAGAATTTTGAACAGCTAGGTAGCTGTTACAATAAAAATATGGTTCATATTCACTTATGTTAGTACATATAAGCTAGATGAGTTACATTTCATATAGTTACAAGAAAAGAACGAATCTTTCATGTGTTAAGCTCTAAATAAATAAATTAGTTTATTTAATCTCTAGGATACTTTAGTGTTTTTCATTGATCAATGAATAAAATTGATATCGAAAAACAGGTGGGAACACTGTTGATTATCACTTATTTACAACTAGCTCTTGATCGATCTATTAATAAAACACCGTGTGAATTACGTAAATTTATGTGACAACTTTACAAGCTGAATAACATAAAGTAAGACGGTTATATAAAACCACACTGTACAACGTTTCCAAGTTTTCATCACTAAACAACTCAGTTTGACATTCTGCTTTTGAAATTTGAGTTGTTTTATTGGTCTCAAGTTTCGCATCAAAACAATACATAATGGTTGAAGTAGTACTAAGTTATTAAGTAGTCATTCGTAGATCATTACTTCGAGTCATTCTGTAATTTATAGTCTTATCTATGTTGTTTCTTTTCTAACTACTTGTAAGTAACATAATTTAAAATACTCAAATTTTCATGAGAGTAGTGTTGATCAATAGCACAATCTCATTTGCAAATCCAAAACAGTAGTAGTATGTAAATTCAGTTGGTATTCTTGTTTGAATCTTCCCATTGATGTTTAGGACTGCAATTGCCCAGTCACTTATTGGCATGTGTGCATGTTGCCTCGATAGTACATTAATTCACAAGCATTATAAAGAAAAAATCAGTAGCTAAGTGGATAACGCTATGGCATTTGAAGCGAACGGCACTGGGTTCGAGTCCCAGAGTGAACATCAGGTTTAAGATGCAGATACATCCAGCTGACGAGTCTCAAATAGGACGAAACGCGCGTCCTGGATTCCACTGTTAGCCATTATCTATCTTTGCATATAATGCTTGTGCATTAAGTAGTAATATGTGTTGATTCTCCAAAATGAACCTTTAAAGATGTATAGTATTGTCACTGCTCATAATATTTCCTAATAATAATAATCTTTCTTGTATAACTTGGGGTGTACTGAATTCACATTTGTATGTAGCTGAAGTAATCTGTTTTTTATTGAGATCTTGAACCAATTGATGTTAGACCATCACAATTGAAAACCTGGAAGCACTGGACGGCCGCTCGCGGGATCGTGGATGCGCACTGCTGAGGAGTCCCACAATAGGACGAAACGGCCGTCCAGTGCTTCCAGGTTTTCAATTGTGATAGTCTAACATCAATTGGTTCAAGATCTCAATCAAAAACTTAATAATCTCCACAACCCCTATACTAGTAATCTGTTTTGTTGATACGATTCCTTCCAGTTTTCAATATAAACATGCGCTTTACGTTTTGTACTGAATGTGGCGCGTTTTATGATCCACTGGAAAAATGGATTCAGTATTGTTGAAGCCCAAACTGATATCTGTTTATAAAATCATCTAGGTCATAATTGGTACTGTAGTCTAATTAATAGGTTCAATAAAAACTCAAGGCCGATTATCGAAAATTATTAAAAATGTAATTAAGCACTGATCGTTATACCGTGGACATACACGTTATTGTGATTCCCAATTATTCGTTCATAATTCATAGAATTCAGTCAATTAGTCATAAACAACGTAAAACATGAAACATCTATATCGGTCCAAATCGCTACATCAAGTTAATTTATACTTTCACTTTTGAATTACATTTTTCTCTAAACTATCTTCTGTTCACACTGAATTGTTTTGCCATATGGCAAATACTACATGTGAAGGTAATCAATGTACCTCTGATTCACTTATAACATACCTTATTAATGGATTATTTCATTCAGTTAAATCATATTAGTATTTAGTAAGTGGTGATGATCGATAAGGAAAGTTAAGGCCTAGTTTTCATATTTCATTGATAAGTTCTACATTAATCCAACCTTAAAAAAGCTTATCTTTCAAACATTATTCATCATGTAACTACTATGTCAGGTCATTTAGTTTGGTAGGCAGATTATTAACCTTAAATGATACAGGTCACAATGGATGACTAAATAACAAGCTATTTATCCTCTCTAGTCACTGACGTCTGTCTTAACTTCCATACTTGTTTAAATAACAACATATCACTGGATTCACATAAGGAGAAATAATACTATCTTACCTAAATGTTTGCCTATCTTTTTGATTTTTATTAGATATAATTTAATATTCATTTCTTTTAACGATCGATAAATAGCTGAGAGTTTTAGATAAACTTGAAATAATCTAACTACTGCTAGCAATATAATTTATAGTATCGATGATAGAAATCGAATACCAATTCTATCTCCCCCCGTATGTTTTATATAAAAGTAATGAAATGTATTCATGCATTATTTCCGTTTACTTGTAGATAGGACGTCATATCACCTAATATTGTATCTTGCGTGGTTAAAGTGTTGTGCACATCATGTGATTAGTGCATTCGAATACTTATTCAGATGTGTGTGTGTATATATTATATGTTTTGCTACTAATTTCTTCCCTCCACCCTACTTTTCTAGTTTGTGTTTATTGTTTTTCTTACCTCCTTGCTTTAAAAGTTCTATTGTTCATGTTATGATATATATTTTTTTCAAAATACTTACTGTGTATTGATTTGACTTGAAGACAGTTTTATGATCATGGATATAGAAGTCCAGTGATGAACATTTGAAAACATAATGTCAATGAATTGCTGTTTCTCGTTTGAAAACATTAAGCTCTGTGTATGTACTACCTCGTTTCTGGCTAACATCTATCTATGATTTGCTGCAACCATTATCCAATACCAGTGTTAGACTATATTATCTTATTACTGAGTTCGTTGACCCCACAAGTCATAACATCTCATTGTATATATATAAATATACAAAAATTGACCAGAAATTGGATTTATTACCATCATGTAGCTTAAAGTAGATCATATGTACCATGTAATTATGATCAGGACTATCTGATAAACTGTTATCATTGTTTTTTATATCCTCCCTTCCTCCATATCCTATTAGACATACAATAAGCATGACTTGTTTTGGTTTGTTTGAACAGATCACATTTTAAACTTCGTTCGTGTTTATGCTTTCATGCATTTAAACAATGAAGAAACCCATTTGAATGTCACATTATTTATTATTTTGACTGTTACAACTAGTTATATATTTATGTGTATATAAAGGTCGAAAAACACTACCTCTTATGAAACGTCACAAATGTATTATTATCATTAATAGTTTCGAATTTCAGAAGGAAAGATTCGAGAAAACAAAATCACAAGTTTAAACCAGTGATTCTTAAACATAATTAATTAATTTATGTATCCAAATTTTATTTTACCCTACAATAAACAGTAATGACATCAGAATTATCTCTCATTGTATTACATTCACAAAACACGTAAATAGTATGAATTCATTTTTGTATTGTTTGTTTGAATCTTCCCATTGATGATTAGGATTGCAATTGATCAGTCTCTTATTGACATTTTAGATATCTCAGACTTTTATTATTGGATCTATACTTGTGAAACTGTGTAGCTTTCCAACCAATAGATTCTAAGTTCGAATCCAGTAGTATCTACTTTGGTTTAAGCAACCAGTTAACATCATTATCCTTCATACAAATATAGTATGATTAGAAGCTTAATACATGAGACTTGTTCGTGGTAAATAAGTTACAACACTATTGAACTGATAGACTAGTAAAATAACATCGATTTCTGTAAAATACCATTATTATTATTATATTTTATAATTTAAAATGTTAAGTAATCAAATGTTACATGTATATTTGTGTTCTATTCTGTTAAGTAGGGAATTTAATTACCTATCCATTAATGGCTATACAAATATAAATCATTTTTATTATGAAGTTGAATTCTATTCTAAATATTGTTTGCCATACATTGGTATGTAACAATAACTCCTGGCTTTAAGTTCTACTGAAATGTTCTACTTAATTAACATATCGTTCTTGGTGAAGTTTCATTCTTTGAACTAAATGCTTTAATTATGGAGTCCTTTTCGTTATTCTTCTGAACAGTATCATCAGCATAAACTTCAGGTAGAAGTAAAGTATTCGAATTTCTTCATATATAACTGACAACTTATTCTTAATTATTGTTGACCTTCAACCTGTAGGGAAATCTTTCATTAATCTCCTCTGTATGGTCATTTTGTTACAAGATTTTTGGGACAGATAGCTTGCAGCTAGCACTGGAATACAGTATTCAATGGCTTAATGAACAGTACGTAGGATTTTAAAGCGAAAGGTATTAGGTTTAAGTCCCGTTGAGAGCATCAACACTGGGATCCAAGTACATTTAATATGTAAGATCTCAAAACACTTTATAATGTAATTTCTTTTTATTCTTCTATAAAATCATCTATTTATTAGGTCATTGTAAATAGAAGTATCCAGCTTTAATAAATGGTATTGTCGAAAAGAAAATCTTCTTCATTGAATTCTGTTTCTTTTTGTCTAGTCAATGACATAATGGGTTACTTCAAGTCCTTATATGTATATAATTATTGAAGCCACTTTTCATCTGGTAATCTTATTCTTATGATATACCCTACTATTTTCTTTTTACTTTAAACCCCACTTCCATGAAATGTATACAAAGAATCATTCATCTATTCTATTTAGTTTTTTTTCTTAGCATCTAATTCGGACAACAGTGAACTAAAATTTTACGTATTACTAACCTCACACTTAAGTTAATGATATAAACTTATTAGAAGTCTATTGTTTAACTACTAACAATGCCAGATAGCCGCCGGTAGAAAATTTTTTGATTTATAGTAGATAATTAACCAGCTAATAATCATAATAATAATGATAATTATATCGTAGTTTTTAAAAACTATATTATTCTTTGTTTCTTTTCAATAAATCTTCTGACTGAACGCTTGAATTGGTTTTATAAGCTCTTTTAATAACCCCGGGGTAAACCTACACAACAACTTGAACACAAGAGAAAAGGTGCGAAATATAGAGAAACGCTTTACTACAAGGTTCGTTTATTTACAGAAAATTTAGAGTATTTGTAGCATTTTAGATGACCTTGAGCTTCTGGAAAGTTCTGGAACACTACTAAAAATAGCGGGATAGGTAATCATTGAGTCAGAGGTGTGACACGTGACTCTTCATCTTATAGATGTGTCAGAGATACTTTGCTCAATGCTGATTGGATAAAATGTTTTCTAGCGTTTTCAGAGCCTCTGGGCTTTTTTTGAGGAATATTCTGGATCTCCCCACCACTTTTATTATCCATTGATGAAGGATTATTTTACAAATAAACAGTAAACGACTATAAGCTTCATCATCTTTTTTCTCTCCTAACTTCATAAAATCCAAAATAATTTCCAATATTTTTCCACAAATAGCTCCCCTCTAAAACAAGATGACTTATCATTAGGATTATTTTAAATGTATGACCTTGTGTTTCAGTCTAATCCTAAGGAGAAGAGAAATATATATTTCAAATTACAGTTGTTAATCATTTTAATAGAACTATGATGTTGGTTTTGTGGGGGGGGGGAGCGCTAAATAAATGTTTCAGTATTTCTGTTTAATGGTTATTATTATATATTTTTATTTATTTATTCCATAACAGGGTGGAATGTGGAAACTGGACCATTAGATAGTGAAAATAATTTAAAACCGGATTGTTTAATATCATTGACTGCACCGAAATTATGTGCTCAATTCTTTCAAGGACAGTATCATTTTCTCGGTAATTTAACTTTATATATGTATATATATGATGGATTTTTCATGTGAGTTTGTATGTTTGTTGTTTGTTGAAAAATAATTGGTCAAGAGATTCAGATTATAGGCTGATTTTTAATTAGAAATCATTAACATCTACTTTACTGTAAAACAAATTGATTCTAAGAATACTCATACACATCTATTCAGTTTATACTGAAATTTAGAGGCATCTAATTCTTTGAATAATTTTACAAAGTAAACTGTGAAAGATTTTTCATCAATTGCAAACAGCCTATATTTAGTTTTATATAGAATGGAGAATTGAAATGAAAATTAGAAAGCTAAAACTCAAAAAAAAGAAATGAACTAGGCAATACTCTTTATTCTACTAATTGCAAAGATAATCTAATCTCAGTAGTTAAGATCATGAGTTGATTGAAGCTAGACCACCATGGGAAACCTGAAAGCACTGGACAGCCGTTTCATCCTACTGTGGGACTCTTCAGCAGTGTTCATCCACGACCCCACCTCGCTAGATCCGAACTCACGACCTACTGGTCTCGTGCGCGAGCACTTAACCACTAGACCACTAAGCCGGCATCCAACGATGTTAATGTCTAACTTCAACTAATCCACGAAATCGAGCAACACATCCACCATTGTCATCAGTGAGTTACTACCGCTTCTGATGATAATCTAATCATAACACGAATATTGTAGTCTGACAATATAATGTAAAAATAATTAGAAATCAATGAATACAGTTTTTTCATGAAATATGAAAATAAGTTTACTCAAAAAAATTTAAACATTCAGGTGTAAAGAAAATTTCTGTTTACATCTTCTTTACCATCTTAGGAAGATGATATTTAGTAGGAAATAATTAGAGGTATTGAAAAGAGCTATGTCGCTTTTAGTATATAACATCAAATAATCATAAACCAATCAAACATATATAAATACCCTCTTACTGAACTTATGAATTTGCAATATATTTATGAAAACAATTACATAAGAAGATCTGAGAAAATACCTTCATGAAACTTTCTGATTGTGTTTATTGAAATCTGTACTTGGAAGAAAATAAAATGTGATTGATACACACTTGATAGGCAATAATTACGAAGTGATTGTTTTCTCAACCTTATTAATAATAAATTGACTTGTTTTACTTTGCAGAAATCTTTACGATCTATTGTTTCTTAACAAATTTATATAAATAGAAGTATAGTCATTAACTTCTAGTCTTAGCCATGTTGGTAGATGCAGACTACTTGATTGGGGTCCGCGCAACTATGGTAACCAATGGTTGAAGACTATTGGTGACATGGCTCTGAATCTATCACAATGGCGTAGGTGTCAGTCAGTAGCAACGTAGAACTTCGTACGTACGCACATCAGATCGAGTTGCCATACCACATTAGCACACAAATACAATTGTCGATTCAAATCCCATAGTGGTAGAGATAGTAAAAGTATAATCAGTAATCAGAAAGATTAGGGTTTGACGATGTTATTCAACGAGTATAATCCAGTGAAATAAATTTGGAAAGAGAAAAAAGAAAGAGACATGGAGAATTCAGAAGATTAGGATTTGGGAGAATACAAAGAGCGGATGCACCTGCGCCATTGCAAACTATTTTGAGCGATGTCATTCAACCAGGTAGTCTACACCCACCAACATAACTCAGTCCACTTAGCGTTGGTGTATACAATCTTTGTCTTCCCTTAAACTATGAGATTAAAATTATTTCATATCTTTCTACGAACTAATTTTTTCTTTCTGTACTATATCCTTTTATAAAATCTTTTCTTTATATATTACACCATTGAATAACTGCTTCTATGAATCTGATGTTCGTCTTGCTGTGCTAATGCGGTGTGGCAACTTGGACCGATGCATATATGTGCCTGGTCCTATGTTGTAACTGACTGACTGATAGTTAATCTCTCTTTTCTCCAATAATAAATAACTATCCTAAAAGAATTTCACCGATTACGTAATTTCACAATTGATTGATCACTGGGTGGTGATCAGTGTCATGTGTGTCAAGTCCTTATTTAGTGCAGATCTAATGCTATTGACCATGTTGCAATGTGGCCACCAGTGACACTGCGGGCACTACATATTGAGATTAGATGGTGGTTGGAGGTAGTCGACAGGAAACCCTAGACCTGGGTTTCGTGTTTCTTGGCACTCGTCAGCAAGGTGCATCTGTAATCTTGAGGGAACTGGTGCTCCCTGACGGATTCGATCCCGTATCACTCAGATTCTGTACAAAAAAGAGTCCAAACATATTGAAATGGAAGTGAAGTTGAGTATCAAACATCCGTGTTAATGATAATAACTAATACATAAAAACAAAATGAAAATATGAGGAATATACTAATAGTCGGTGAAAATTAAAATAAATAAATAGAAGAATTAATTACATCCTCTATAATAACTATATGAATTAGTGAGAAATTATTATGCCTACATTAACCATTCAAATATGTACACATATACACAAGTTTATTATGATTTTTAATCGTTCCTAATTGTCTTGTTTATCATAATGTTTTTATTTAGTATACTTTGTCATAAAATTATCTTCATTGATTGAATATCTGAAGTACATTTGTATATGTATCCAGTATACATAGTTTTATGTATATTGATTAAGTCCACTGTATAAACAATCAGTTTGTTTATTTTATTAAATGGTCTAGTATACATCAGTTCGTTTGCAAGTTTATAAATATATCACTACCTATTAGAAAAACATTCATATCCCTCTCTCTGTGTCTCCAGGATGGTTATAAAAATTCTATGCCGAAACAACTTCCTGTCTGTACTGTAATTGTGACCATATAATTTACATTAATAAATTATAATTAATTGTCTGATTATCAAGTGGAAAAAATGAATTAAAATGATGCAATTAAAGTTTAATTGGTCATTTTTATTCACATGTATAATTAAATTTATTATTTATAGAATTTGGGTTGAGAATTATTCATTACCTTCTTTTTATTTATTTATTAAATCAATTTCTCCTTTGTCCACTTTCCCAACAAAAGTATAATTTCAATAGTTGAAGTCATGAGTCAATTAAAGCTAGACCACCATGGAAAACCTGGAAGCACTGGACGGCCATTTCGTCCTATTGTGGGACTCATCAGCAGTGCGCATCCATGATTCCGCCTCGCAAGATCCGAACCCACGACCTACTGGTCTCGTGCGCGTGCGTTTAACCACTAGGCCACTGCGTGAGACTGATAGGTCCTGAATCTCGCTGGGGGGCGGGATCTTGGATGCTCACTGCTGAGGAGTCCCACGATAGGACGAAACGGCCGTCCAGTGCTTCCAGGTTTTCCATGGTGGTCTAGCTTCAATTGACTCATGATTTTAGCTACTGAAATTACTAAAATCTCTACAAAACCCCTTCTGATAAAAGTAAAATTGTACATATTTAAATTGAAACTGTTTACATTATTAGATCATTTGAAACGAAGGATACTTTCTTTTATAATTTTCCTTTTAAATAATGAAGATACTTACGCCTGTTACTCCTCGTGAAGGAGCATAGGTCGCTCACCAGCATTCGCCATCCAACCCTGTCCTGGGCAATCCTTTCTAGTTCCTTCCAGTTGTTATTCATCCTTTTCATATCTGATTCTATTTCTCGACGTAATGTGTCCTTTGGCCTTCCTCTTTTCCGCTTCCCTTCAGGATTCCAAGTTAGGGCTTGTCTCGTGATGCAGTTTGATGATTTGCGTAGTGTATGTCCTATCTATTTCCATCGTCTTTTCCTAATTTCCTCTTCAGCTCGAAGCTGGTTTGTTCTCCCCCCAGAGAAGGCTTTTACTGATGGTATCCGACCAATGGATGTTGAGTATCTTGTGTAGACAGCTATTTATAAATACTTGCACCTTCTTGATGATGGTTGTTGTAGTTCTCCAAGTTTCAGCTCCATACAGTAGAACTGCCTTGACATTCGTATTGAAGATTCTCACTTTGATATTGGTTCACAGTGGTTTTGAGTTACATATGTTCTTCAACTGTAGGAATGCTGTCCTTGCTTTGCCAATCCTTGACTTTACGTCTGCATCTGAGCCTCCTTGTTCATCGATGATGCTTCCCAGGTATGTGAAGGATTCTACATCTTCCAGAGTTTCGCCATCAAGAGTGATTGGATTGCTATTCTCCGCTTTGAATTTGAGGACCTTGGTTTTCCCTTTGTGTATGCTGAGGCCTACTGATGCAGAGACTGCTGCTACAGTGGCTGTCTTTTTCTGCATCTGTTCGTGTGTATGGGATAGGAGGGCTAGGTCATCTGCGAAGTCTCAATCGACTAATTGATTCTGAGCTGTCCATTGTATTCCGTGTTTTCCTTCAGATGTCGAGGTCTTCATAATCTAGTCGACCACCAGAAGAAAGAGGAAGAGAGAGAGTAAACAGCCTTGTCTGACTCCGGTCCTTACTTGGAATGCGTCTGTCAGCTGTCCTCCATGCACGACCTTGCACTGTAGTTCGTCGTATGAGTTCCGGATAATATTGACAATCTTCTCAGGAACTCCGTAGTGTCGAAGAAGTTTCCATAACGTTCTCCTATCTACACTGTCAAATGCCTTTTCATAATCAATGAAGTTGATGTACAGTGATTGTTCGACGATGATCCGTAGTGTCGCAGTTTGGTTCGTGCACGACCGATCCTTACGGAATCTAGCTTGTTGATCTCGAAGTTGGGCGTCTACTGCATCTTTCATCCGGTTCAGCAAAGCTCTGTTAAAGACTTTCCCTGGTATTGACAGTAGTGTAATGTCTCTGTGGTTTTCACATTTGCTCAGGTCTCCTTTCTTTGGAATCTTGATGAGGTGTCCTTCTTTCCAGTCCATCGGCACTTGTTCCTCCTCCCAAATATTTTTGAATAGAAGGTTAAGCATGTTTGAAGTTATTTCGATGTCTGACTTCAGTGCTTCAGCTGGTATATTGTCAGGTCCTGCTGCTTTCTCGTTCTTGATTTGCCTGACAGCCATTCTGATTTCTTCCGTCGTTGGTAGATTGACATCTGTAGGAAGATCTGTGTGCACTGCTTCGATGTCCGGTGGATTCTCTGGAGCCGGCCTATTCAGGAGTTCCTCCAAGTATTCTACCCATCTGTTTCGCTGTTGTTGAATTTCAGTGATTGGCCTGCCTTCTTTGTCCTTGACCGGTCTCTGGTTTACTGTATTTCCCTGCTAGTTTCTTCGTTGTATCGTAAAGCTGTTTTATATTTCCTTCTCTTGCAGCTTTTCCCGCCGTCATTGCTAGTTCTCCCACGCATTTCTTCTTGTCGGCTTTAACGCCCTTCTTCACTTGCTTGTTTGCTTCTATGTATTCAGCTTGTGCTTGAACTTTCTCTGCTCGCGTTCGGCTGTAGTTAATTGCTGTCTTCTTGTTCTTCCTTCCTTTGATCTTGTCCAGTGTTTCTATAGAGATCCATTTCTTATGATGGTGCTTCTTTAGACCCAGAACCTCTTGACACGTTTAGGTTAATGCTTGTTTGATACTTTTCCAGTTGTCCTCCATAGTAGTTTCTTCTTCCTGCAGTAGATCCTGTAAGGCTTGGAACCTGTTGTTGTGAGCTATCTTGAATTCATTGAGTCTGTCAGTATCTCGAAGGAATACTGTATTGAACCTTTGTAATGCTGTTTGTCCAGTTGTCCAGTTCTTCTTTAGCTTCAGTTTTAAATTGGTCACAACTGGATGGTGATCTGAAGCTATGTCAGCTCCTCTCCTGGTTCTCACATCTTCCATTGTCCTTCGGAACTTTTTATTGATGCAAATATGATCTATCTGGTTCTCTGTGGTGTGGTCCTGTGAGATCCATGTAGCTTTGTGTATACGCTTGTGTGGAAATATTGTGCCTCCTATGACCAATTTGTTGAATACACACAGATTTGCAAATCTCCCCCTATTTTCGTTTCTCTCTTGCAGTCCATGTCGTCCCATGATATCTTCATATCCGGTGTTGTCTATTCCGACTTTGGCATTTAGATCTCCCATTAGAATGGTGAGGTTCTTTCTTGGGCATTTCTCAATGATTGACTGCAGCCGCTCGTAGAATTGATCTTTAATGTCGTCGTTGCTATCATTGGTGTATGCATAACATTGGGTAATATTCATTAAGATCCCCTCCTTCTTTGTTTCGAATGATGCCTTGATGATTCTGGATCCGTGAGATTCCCATCCTACGAGTGCATTTCGTGCTACTTTGGACAGCATTAGAGCAACTCCCTGAGTGTGCGGAGCATTTTCCTCTTCATGACCGGAGTATAGTAACATCTCTCCCGTAGTTAGCCTTTGTTGTTCAGCTTGGGTCGAATGGGTTTCGCTGATTCCCAGTACTGCTAAGTTGTATCTCCTCATTTCCGTTGCTATTTGACTGGTCTTCCCGGTCTCCCACATTGTTCGGACATTCCATGTACCTATAAAAATTTTGCTCTGGTTGTTAGAAGGGGCATCGGCCTCGTGGCTTCCGAAGGAACTCGGCTTTCACCATGAAGCGTCCTAATTCTTCTAAATGAAGCCCTTGTTACTCTCAAGGCAGAGTTTAAATTTTTTTTCTGGTAAGCGTTTTTTAGCGAGTTAGTTTTCTACGGGATGGGGACGCTAACCCCATGCCCAACCCTTCTCCTTTACCCGGGCTTGGAACCGGCAGTAACTCTGGAAGAGCTGCAGGCTTATTCATTTGATCTAATTATTGACTTCTATGGTATTATTAGCTATTCAGGAAATAGAAGTGTAAGGTGGTGGGCGATTGTCGACAGGAATCTCCATAATCTACATTTAACAATAGTTGACACTTGTCAATTAGGCATACTTCAGTCTCAAAGGAATGTATTCTCCTTATGTGATTTTAACCGAATTTATTTAAACTATGACTCATCAAATCGTAGAACTGTCATATTTACACTGATTTATCACTAAGTGATAATTAATGTCATGTTTTTGGTAAAGTTTCATTCCTTTGAGTTGGATGTTTTAGTCATGAAGCTTTCATAGTTCTTTTAAACAACATCATCAGCACAAACTTCAGATAGAAAAGGAACAAAGTTTCATGATTGAACCATTCAGTTCAGAGCGCGAAATTCCATTAAAACCATCCGCCTAAACTACGAATCTCTATCAGTTCATGTTTATTTAGTCTTTAATGTTGTACAAATTTTATTAATAAAGTTCCAACATGAAATTCATTTCTAAAAAGAAAAACTCATATGAACTTTATTTCGATATTAGGCAGTTAAAGTCAATCGGACCCAAATCAATGGTTTCAGCAAAATTGGGTATAGACAGTTGATTTTACACTTTTTGTTCTCATCAAATCTTAGTTTTTATTATTTACAAGTTATTAAATAGAATCATGTATATTTAGAGGAAGTATCTCTAGTTGTTGATTGTTTGTTGTTGATAATATCTAACCATTGAACAAAGTACATAAACACAATCTTTTGGAAATAAAATCATTTTCAAATTACATATCATATTGACCTATTTTCGTTTCTAAGGTAAGTAGAACATCATGTAACCTAAAAAGTAGTGACTCAGACTGTGTGGTATTACTGTTTTTAATGATCAACACATTTTAAAAAATGTTATACACCATATTTTCCTAGACGAATTTCCATAACATTTAGCGAAAGAAGTGTAAAGAAGTAGTGACCAGTGGAGTTCAACCAGGTCTGTTGTGAGATAGTAACTCACTGAAGACAATGGTGGATGTGTCGCTCAATTTCGTGGATTAGTTGAAGTTAGACATTAACACCGTTGAATGCCGGCCCAGTGGTCTAGTGGTTAAGTGCTCGCGCGCGAAACCAGTAGGTCCTGGGTTCGAATCTCGCAGGGGGCGAGGTCGTGGACGCGCACTGGTGAGGAGTCCCACAACATGACGAAACGGCCGTCCAGGTTTTCCATGGTAGTCTAGCTTCAACTGACTCATGATCTTAACCATTGAAATCCATTTCTTCGACATTTAATTCGGAAGAGATTGATCACAACGTAACGATACTCAGCCAATAAAACTTCTCAACATAAACGTGTAGAAATAGAAAGACTAGTCTTTTTTCAATGGAGCTCTTACTATCTATACAAAAGCTGATGTCACTACAAATTGTCTGTATTTGTCATTTAAAAATCTATAGGACAAAATAACGTCCTGACAGATCAAGTTACTAATTCTGAGAAAGTATCTATCATTTTGGTAATTGTGGATTCTCCATGCGTAAAATATAAATTCGAATCATATAACTAAAAAGAAAAATTCTAAGGTGTTCCCAGTAGAAAAAACACTATCTGAGTATTTCGTGTCAATAATAAAATCTAAAAATACGAAACTCTTTCATGGAACATTAAATAAAGAAAATTCTACCCATAGAAACGTATTGGATAAGAATAAAGATAAAGATAAGATAAATATAGATTTACGTTGTTAACTTATTAACTTACTGACAACTTATTAATTAATAAGCAAACAAATAATGTCATGTTTATTATGTAGAGTTGGGTTGCTTCGATCAAATTACTGATTGACTTAGTTATGCAACGTTAATACGAAATCATATTGTCTGTCGACCAACAAGTAACTGAACTATATTAATTCAAGATATTGAGTTAAGTGTGAATCGACTTCGATCTCTGAAACATTGATTTGTATTATCCTTAGTTAACCATATAAACTTTTCATATCTGCTAACTATGTTTATTTTAAAGCGTCAAGATAGATATTCTTCTATTTATACAACGTTTTATAGTCTTTTCATTTTATTTTCAGGTGGGAGATTTGTGCCAGATGCACTAATGAAGAAATACAAGTTGAAACTACCTACATATCCTAGTCATGAGTTATGTGTACTACTTAATTCCTCCGATGATAAGAAGTAGTTAGTTATATTTGCCAAACTTTTGTAAATGAAATTTTGTTAAAATATCTTTATCTAGAAGGTTCCACTGAATGTTAATACTTTATTTACGAATAGCACAACTAACTGAATTAGCTTTTGTTAACAGACCATTTTCATGTGTATCCACTATGTCATCAGATCTGATAGGTCTCATTTTTGTTTGTATGTGAATATAATACACGTGTTTGTCACGTTTTCATGATTTTAATTTGAATTATTATATCAAGTCTTTCAAGTAGATACAAATCCAGTATTTCAATGGAGGTAAGGAGGAAATTAGAACTTATTTATTGTAAGACTTCAATGTATTTGTAGACAAAATTATTCATTGATTAGTCTTAATTCTTACTAACTGTAACAGAATATCTGTAGATTGATCTATAAATTTGTTGATTCATTATTCAATTACAGAACCATTAAAATTAGACTTATGATTACCATCGTCCTTCTTATCTTTATATTTACTTATCCCATAAACCTAGATTATTAACAACTAATTTACAATACATTCAAACACCAAGTGACTAATGAATTATAGTTCAGTTAATCTCGTGCAAATCATTTTATAGAACACCAACTTTCGGCGTTGAAGTCTTAAAACTAATGGTGATTTATTAACTAGACCTTCTGACAACTACCAAGTTCCAGTAATAAACGATTACTTGAATATTCCTTTTTTTCAATTTAACAGGATCAACAAGCAATTTCCGCCTTCAGAGTACAGATTGTCTAGTTATCTCGAATGGGATATAAATTCCTATTATGTTCAACTTTGAGAATCTACGCATGTGTACACCTAAATCCTCTACAATAATCTTTGAAAACGGATAGTTTGGTAGGGAGAATTCGAATTTGCCTGATTTGTTTAGTTTCAACCAACTTGTGGGCTCCTTGAACGTATACATCGATATTGTCTGAAGTTGTGTCGACTATTTGTTTTTGTAGTATCTAACAATGGAAAATCAAATGCTTGTTTTATGCTGTTCGAGGTGTATCAAGTGGGCGCGAAATACAAATATATGTATATCATGACTTTGGAACGTGGTATTTGTCGTTACTTAGGAATCTAGTAGATAACGCTCTGAGTTTTGAAACGATGAGTATTGGTTTGTTCTGAAATCCAAGTACATTGAGCTTCAAGCAGAACTAAACGTACACTTTGGATTGCACTGATAACCATCATAAAATATACCTATTTTCTTAGCACATTGACAACATACATTATATACAAACGATTATCCCAAATCTCTTAATTCACGAATTAATGTTGATCGTGTCCTCTTGTGCGAAATAAAGTCCAATTTAGCTTAATGTCGTATCAGCTCGTGCTACAGTACTTCATTTTACTTTTTTTATTAACTCGTTTACCAGACACTTGTATTTCAGCAGCATTCGAAGTCCAAAGGCTAGTGGAACTAACCAGTTGCCGAAATAAATGGAGGGGTTTGAACCTATGACTTAGTGGTTTAAAGTCAAATGCACTAACCACTGAGCCATTTCAATATGAGGAAACTGATTTATCTCTGAGAAATTTCCATTATATAAAAACATATATGAACAAAGAATATTCTTTCCAATAAATTCTCCTCAGGTTCTACAATTTTATATCCAAATTAATAATCTGAAATGTGGCTAGGTGTAGGGAAAATACATCATTCCGAAATTATAGCATGTGGATTTAGGATTGTAAAATAAAACAAAATCGTTAATGCTGGGTTGACTGTAATAAGTTTATATGTTAAGTCAATTTGTAAAGTTAATAATCAGGATAAATACAGTTAATATGGGGTGCAAGAAATAATGATGTAATTGTGAATTTAACTGATTTAGCTGGAAGTTTCATCCATTTAAACAGCTCGCTTCCTAAGTAACTCCAATTAGTCCCATGATTTAGACCGTCTTAGCTGCGTTTCCAATGTATATTTTAGATCTGACAAGATATCTAAATAAAGATGTGTATCAAAGATACTTATTTCCGCATAAAATAAAATCCTGGCTAATCATGGAAATTACTCTCATACATGCGGGTCCTATCGAACAACTAGGATGAAGCGAAAATTGGAAATGTGTGCGAATGTACATTTATAAAAATGCATTCGTTAATAAAAAGGTCCAAGTGGTTTAAATTGACCAAGTAAAATCTTAGTCTTCAACCAAAGGTACATAGTTTCTGTAACGGCCGAAATTCCAATATTTGGTTTGACCGCTGAACTAATGAACCAAAGTTTATTCGATTTGGCCAAACTACGTTCTTCTATATAGCGTACGAAGCGTTTTTGAGTGAATTGTATTAAATTATATTAAAACACAAACTGTCCAATTTAGACGGTTCGAATTTAAGAAACAAAACAAATATCTCAAATAGTACGGCCTATGCTATATAGCCAAAGGTTTCTGTAGAGCAAAATAACGTACTAAACAGCCAAAGAAATAGTTCATAAATCCTAGTACGATACCTCAAGATGGGACCAGATATATATCTGCAAAGATCCCTGTAATCCTTCCAAGCACATAGTTAAAGGTTAACAATCATACATTGAACTACGCCATAACCTTGAGTTTAGTCAAACATGACCTTATTGTTCATAGTCCGGCAACATGCAGCAGTAAAACTAAGTAATAAAAAGTAAATATAACCAAAGTCAAATAATAAAGGCCCAGACAAGGAAGACTATAGAATAAAATTTAGAATACAAGACAAGGAAAAAGAACAAGGTCAGACTGATTACAATCAGATCTATCAAACTAGTATTGATCTGCATAAACTAAGTGTATATACGCTACCCAAAATATTTCTCTTAAAATCTATCCACTGCTGATTGGTTTTAATAAGTCAAATAAGAAAAGCTAACTGTTTTTAACAGTTCACAAAAAAAAGAAGCGATAACGAGATTTGTCAACACAGTAAGCCAGTTTACTTCGAACGTGTGGCTGATTGGATTCATTTATCAGAAACACATTAATGAAGAAATATTTCCAGTAGAATCATAGCTACTATTCTGCAGAGTGATCTATTGACAAACAAATATACCATTCATCGTGTTAGTAAATTAGAGCTATCAAAATAAAATACACATTCTGACCAATTTTTTTTATTATATCAAAGTACCATAATACTATCCAGAAAATGTAATAAATAATTCAAAGAATAAGGCATTAAAATGACGGCGCCAACAACAAGTAAGCATCATAATAAAAAAAAAACAATAACAGGGAATTGAAAAACCAATAAAACAAATACGCCAATAATGAACAATTTTAATATATATGATAATCTCAAAGAAGTGGTATATTACATGCATTTAAATTAATATTATATCGTGCAGATCTGTAGGTTCAATTCAATAAAATAAAGTATTACATATATATATCATAATCAAATTGTTCTCTTCTTAATCATCACTGGGATTAAGAATAGAGATAAGAAAAATTGAAATGGATAAATAATCGACAAATTAAAAGCATATCATAGAAACAATGAATAAGTGTATGTAGGTATACACATACACACACACACAGCGCATACAGAGAGAGAGAAGCATGCAAAATACACATACATGTATATGTATGTATCATAAATCGAATAAGTAAATTTCTTTTAATCTGAATTCAAGTGACGAAAATGAAAGAAAAAAATTTTCGAAAAGATAAAACATCACTAGAACATTGTTTGCTAATGGAAAAATTGATAAATAAATTTGTGAAATGATTCTTTAAAAGTTACTGTACAATGAATTATAATTGATAATATAAATTTATTTATATAAAGATGATTATGATGATTGTTTTAAACTAGCAAGATGAGATTCTAATGCTTCTAATTCCATTTGCTGAGATTGAATTCGTGCTTTTGTATGGATACCCTAGAAAAATTAATTGAAATAAAAATTATGAATATGTATATATTACATTATATAATATTTTAAGAATGGGGGTTTGTGAAGATTCTCAGTCAGTCAGCTACAACGTAGGACCAAGCACATATATGCATCGGTTCAAGTTGAACACCGGATTCATAAAAGTAGTTAATTCAGAGGTGGTAATAATATAAAAGAAGATTCTAATAATTTTAATAGTTGAATTCATGAGTCGATTTAAGCTAGATCATTATTGAAAATGTGGAAGTACTGGACAGATGTTTCGTCCTAGTGTGGGACATTTCAGCAGTGCACACCCATTGATCCCGCATGAGGAACTCGAGCCCAAGGACCTTCGGATTTGCGTGCAAACACATAACCTCTAGAATTAATTATACATAGACAAACTATTATAACACTTTTCATTTTTTTGATCAAGGATAAATGAATCATTTTACTTTATAAGCCGATTGGTTAAATAGCTGACAATCGATTACAATAATTTTCTTAAATGGATGTTCAACAACTTATAAATCAAAACAGACGAATACTAACATTTCTAGTTTTAAAGATGTCACAGTTAAATTGTTGATATTATTTGACATTATTAAAATAAGTCATTATATATCAGATGGGTTTTGTGGATATTATAGTAATTTCAATGGTCAGTTGAAACTAGACCACCATGGGAAACCTGGAAGCACTGGACGGCCGTTACGTCCTATTGTGACTGTCTTCACGAGGTATATCCTGGAATTCTAGTGAGAAGTGGTGACCAGTGGAGTTCAACCAGGTCTGTTGTGAGATAGTAACTCACTGAAGACAATGGTGGATGTGTCGCTCAATTTCGTGGATTAGTTGAAGTTAGACATTAACACCGTTGAATGCCGGCTCAGTGGTCTAGTGGTTAAGTGCTCGCGCGCGAAACCAGTAGGTCCTGGGTTCGAATCTCGCAGGGGGCGAGGTCGTGGACGCGCACTGCTGAAGAGTCCCACAACAGGACGAAACGGCCGTCCAGGTTTTCCATGGTAGTCTAGCTTCAACTGACTCATGATCTTAACCATTGAAATCATTATATCATTTAGAAAAACAAATTTTTTAAATTCATTTTGCATTGTTTATT